ACCAGAGACGATTAGGGTAAACACTAATGACAGAAGTTTTGAGACGAATGAAAACGCACGTACGATAATTAAATATATTTGCCAAGTCTCATTACAATGACACATCATTAAAAAATAACTAAGCTAACTATATCAACATACATCATTGGAGTCTTTTTTGGAGTAGAAATTATTTAAAAATTATCTATTTACACGAGCTATCACTGAACTACGACAGAGAGCAGAGCCTGTGCTCGTAACTGCGGCGAAGCTACAGGAGTCCCGTTTATGCCTGAGTACCGAGATGGGTACTGACCATGCAAGGAAATATAGACCGAGTAAAAATATCCAAGCAGAATGGTTCTTGTAGAGTTAGTAAGACAGCGATTTGCGTCGAGCTGGGCGTAGCGTGACTGCTTCGGTAACTGACCGCTAGGCATCTTTGGAACAGAGGGGGAGGCATGTATACAGGCGTTCATTTAGCCGCCCCAATTAGGGCAACATATAAGGACTTTTGAAGTTTAGAAACGCAAATTTGAGTCATACGTAGGTAGGCCCATATTTAGGCTCGTATTACCGGTCTTAGGCAGAAGTCCAAGGAGTGCACTATAAAATGCCGGTAAGTTTAGAAAGTATCATCAGTTGATACATCAAATTATTCGCCGTCACTCAAAAAACGAGATGTATTGCAACATTGAGCTCTACTTCAAGTCAAAAATGCGTTATTGAACATGGTTTGTCATTAGAAAAGCTTTGAATTTCTGTACGTGACGTTGAATTTCCGTCCTTGACGTTGAATTTCTGTACCTGACGTTGAATTTCTGTACCCGACATTGAATTTCTGTACCCTGTTTAATAACACTCAGGTGCGGGTGCAGCATCAACATCTGATACGCCCAGACGCACGACACATCAACGCACGGCACACAGAACATCAGGCATGCCAAGTGCTGACACAGAACGAGGAGATAATGATTGAAGTTGGTGCAATTAGAAAAACAAATATTGATCTAACATATTAGCGTGTACATGTTACTTAGTATCATTGGAGTATAAAACCAATTATAAGCTGTATCCTCCTAAAACGCAAACAGCGCAGGAATTGCGCATTGATGACCATACCATTCATTTCACGATTAAAATAAAACATAAATACATACACCAACACAGATATAATTTTATATCTAATTTTGCATTTATAAAAAATTATTTGGTGAATTTTCAACGCTTGTTGTAGCGTTTATCAAAAATTCAAAAGGAGCAACGCACTTGTTATATAAATACAGAATTAGCACTAACATCGATGCCATTACGAGTGAATTATGCAGAAAATTTTCTGGCACTCTGATAATCTCCACTAAATGACAAATATCAAATTATGAACGTGAACATTGAAAGTGAGTTTCTAAGTTGTAATTAGTTTCCAGTTTAACACAAAAATGAAAAATGTGTAAAAAATAATTTCGCAAGGGGAGGAAAATAAACCAATGAAGTTTAGAGGTACAAAGAATCACGGTTTTGCGGAAACGAAGCTTCAAAATTTCATCAGTGAAACTTACGATCGCTGTGAAATTTCATCATTAGAGCTGGTACTAGAATGATAAATTATAGGAATATAAGGAATAAGGATATTAAAAAAAATCTTACATGAATCTCAAGACGAGAATCATGAATCTCAAGGTTCTCAAAATTGAGAATCTTGTAGCGAAGTGAGTGTACAACATATAAAGAGGGAGATGCAGTTACACTTTGAGTAAGTGATACGAAAGAAAACTTATGTACAATAATATCCTAATAATACTGCATACAATTATTGAAGTATCGTTTGTAGTTGGTATTTTAATAAAAAAGCGGTAAAACGAATTTCTTTAGAAATGACGGTAAAACAAATTTAGTAGTGAATTCACAGTATTCAAGAAGAAAGCAAGAAGGAAGGCAACTAGGACAAGAGTAATTAATGGCAATTCAAAAAATTTAACTAACAAGATAAGCTAGTAACAATAGGACTGCCGAGATTTGGGTCGTCAAATTTGTGGCAAATGATATGAGTCTCTTAGGATAAAGGAGTGATGCGCCAGAATTAAGTAAAGCCAAAAATTGTCTGGCATATGGAGATTGGAGATCCATCCAATTTGAAGTAATAATGATTCCATATTCATAGCATCGAAACGTTGCTATCACCAAAATTAAGATTAATTTTATAAAATGACCAACAGAATAGAAGGAGTTAAAATCCAGTACTGTGAAAGAAATGGCAGCATCTCAGCGACATATGTTGAGGTAAACAATTAAAAATATTCGCCTTGGTCAAAATTACGGAGACATATACATTGAACAAAGAATTAAAGTAAAGACACGAGATCATGAGCAGAGCGAAGTCTGCAGGCGCTGTACAAAACCCAGGAATGTTTGGAGGCAGCATTGCCCATGCATCTACTTTGTTAGTGCATTTGTGTACAATTACATTTCGAGGACTTTTAACGTACTTACTTTACGTAAAGCAACGTCTAAACCCTGAAAAAATTAAAATAATGATAATTGTGCATCTCTGCAGGAAGTTAGCATACACATAAATATTAGCGGCTATTGCTGTATGCTGAAGATTTTTTTTCACCGCAATCAAGCTTAAATTCCAGGCACAACCCTACCTTGGAAAAAAATAATAATAAGTAGACATAAATCGATCAGAATTGGGAATCCTTAACACACTAAGGCGATCTTGAATGCAATCAGATATAAAAATTAACTAAGATCTTCCAAGATCTTACGTGGCAACCGAGATATGCGGAGAAATTCTGGTCGACAGTAAAGGAAGGTAGGAATTGAAACCAACAAAAAATAAAGCTATAGTATGGTATGTACATAGACAGGGTGAAAAGCGAACAAATTAAACAAGAAAACAAAAGAAGAAATAAATGATAATTTAAACGCAGAAAACAACAACATAAGGCAAGAGTATCGACTTATTTACACGGCAAGGCTCAGTTTCGAGACTCGCAAAAAATATTTAGAAATTGCCAATTTAATTCTAACTACCTAGAGCCAAAATGATTAAAAAACAATTCATTACAATGAAATAGCGATCAGCAGGTTGGCTTTTAAGGCAGGCAGATGAAGAAAAAATAAGATTTTGGACTTCAAATCGAAATGGACGAGGTAGGTTTCAGTGTTCGCGTAAAATTGGTGCAAAACACTGACTTCAAGATGCGAAGTATTGATTAAATTAAACATTTGGACGACTGGACGTTCCTTAGAGCGATTGCTGGGAAATTAGATTGACTTAAATAATAATCTCAATTTCGAGTGAAAATCAAGAAAATTATCGCACTTTTAGTCTACGAAGCTCTTGAACGAGAGGCTCAAATCGTCCCAGGAAGAGCGAAAACAGATCTTTGAAGACAGTAACACTAGTACACGCGTCATGAGTCCAGGCCTTTATTCCTATGAACTTGAGAGGGCAAGAAATAATTATGCCAGATCATTCACCGAGTTAGTGGAGTCCCTCATAGAAGTAGTGAAGCAAATGTGAGTAATAAAGGCACGTCTTATTACCACAACGCACGAGCAATGAACATTTAACAGAGAAGCACACCGTACGAAGGCGATTCAAACTATGACTACAATTAGCGACATGCCAAGGACTAACTGGGAAGTTTTCAAACTCAAGAGGCACTCTGATTATTAGCCAAACATTGCGAAACAAATTAATTCAATTTTTAAATACTATAGGACGAAAACATGACTTTCCTATGGAATGATAGCTGTAACCCTGATCAGAATCAATACTGATAAAAACATCGATGCATAAACTACAATGACTTTGAAAGTACAGATATGACGGAAATATTCAAGTATGGTAAACGGTAATTGATCAATCACTGGCAAAACAGTTAAAGAGAAAAATCTACCAGAGAAAACATCACAACCAACATGGTTTCTATGCTTACGCGAAGCCATATAAGCAAAGACGCAAGGCATTCGAAGAAGAAATCGACATCGTGATAGCAATATAGTTTGTCATGTTACCAAACTTGTAAATTGGTACACTTGTTCTCCCGTTTGATTAAGAGAAGCGTAGAAAAAGCCTTTTACAGACGTTGGCTAATGGTAAGGCTCTCCTGTGATAGTTTCTTGGACATGAGAATGCCAGAGGGTACGGCAACCTACACAAAAATCACACCTACCATCACTGATTTCTAAAACATCTATGTACAAAATTCTAAATTATGTTCCCGTTTTTTTAGCTACGTCTACGATAATTGAATTACTGTACAACTGGCGTAACAAAATAAAACAGTATATAAATAGGCAATACTAGAGTATTTAGCTCTAAAATGCAATCATCACTCACTTAGCCTTCATTAAGTTAGGCTAAAAGCTTATGTTTTACGGTATTAATACAATATTAATCTCAGTTCAAGCCAGGTCACTAAGGCGAATCAGTCGCCAAATGTAGATGAAGAAGAAAAAAACAAAATTCTAATACGGTCACAACCCTAATATTGTGGAACAAAACTGCGGGCGAACGTTTGCACATACTACGGGCGAACAAGCTACAAGATGCAAACCCACGATATAGACTAAAGTCTAAACGAATTTCGATAAATAACACAAGTTTAAATCCAGAATAATTTCAGAAAAAAGAAGTATGAGAACGATAAAGAAAATTTTTCGACTCTTACTCTATTTTTCAGTAAACAGAAATTTCAACGAGGCATGACAAATCGTACGAAAACAGTGCACAAGATACCCGAACGCGGATACGAGAAAGGGCTGTGGCGGAAAGAAGAATTGAGTAAACGCTGAAACGAACTCAAAAACTGGAAATATCGAGCATTGGTTGCACAACCAACAGTCTTTCTTAAAATAGAAAAGAATTCTACGAGGAACTTTGTTCTTAGCATATCCATACATAACGCTGGTTAAACGCAATGAGAGGAGATCCGCGAAATTGTTATCGTATGCACAGTCAAGTTGCAAACTACTGAGAACGGTTGACATAATTAATTTCGACACGTGGAATGGGACGACTCCTAATATTTTTATTGCGAAAGGAAGTATCAAGATTTGAATTGTTACACTTTCAGCATTCGGTCGCCAAAAGAAAAAAGTGCATCGAATCTTTCTTATTCGTCATGATTATATTGCCTTAAAATTTCAGTTGTCGAGTAATTGAGACATGTAAACTGAAGAAGCTAAAACGTTGTATGAAATTAGCGACGATGAAACATTAACTGAAAATGTCAGCCCAGAACTGGTGGCTAAAGCCCGGAACTGGTGGCTAAAGCCCGGAACTGGGGACGAGAGCAGATGAAGGAAGAAGTGAAATGCGGAAGTTTTTATCACACGGGCGGCAGGGGCGCCAGTTCGAGAGGCACGCTATCACTGGTCAGGGGTAGATCCTCACGCCCTTCGGGTGAGACTCGCGCGTGTGAGCCATTGTCGGAGCCCGTCATTGGCGCTTGCAAGCCGTTATTTCGCGGAAATCCGTTACCCGGGCATCCGTTAGGGGGCAAAACCGTTAAGGGGGACACGCCATTACCGCAAGTGTTAAGCATGCCAGGCGATGAAAGAGGTACTGGACTCATAGTCCGGTTGCGCGTTAGTGTGCTAACCGGAGACGAAATGAGCGCGGGATTGACTTGCTGCTGCAGTTTCTGTTGATGCAGCTGATGTTGGTGCATCTGCTGCTGTAATGCAGCATTCTGTAGGTCAACCGGTGAAGTTAACGGCTGCACGATAGGTTGATGATAAAGCTGTGGCATTTGTTGGAGACTTTGATCCTGTAAACAAGTGTTGGCAGCCGCAAGGCAATGAGAGGCGTTAGCTGCGGCTGCACTTATGACATTAGCCTGCGTTTGTAGAGGAGTTTGAGGAGGCGTGAGATCCGTGCCTGAGCCGCTCACAGAAGTAGGGATGAGATCACAGGGCTGTTGCAGGGACAGCGAGTTGGGCAAAGATGAGGGTATGACTGAGGGTAGAGTAGAAGGAATGACAGTGAGTGAGGGTAAGCTGGACGGGATCACGGTCATATTAGGCATAGGGCAGATCACCGGGTCAGAGAGTCCTGCCAGATCACAGCTGCTGCTGCTCGACGCATTCAATGAGCACTGAGAGCCAATGTGTGACTCCATCGCTCGGTATATGAATAGAAGGTCATCCTGGGGACAAATATTTGAATTCTTAAAACAATCATTATGTAAATCTTGACAATCTTTATCGAATACAATCGAAAAAATACAGAATTGAGTTTTTATTATCAAAACCAATTGAAATATAATCAATAAACAAAATTTGAATTCATCTTTGCAAAAAGCTCAACATTGTTTCATAAAAGTGCTGATGATAAAATGAGTTTGATATTATTCAGAGACGTACTTGAGAGTTCCAGATGCCTGGTCTTCTGTTGTGGTAAAGTTTAAAGTAAAGGAATGGGTCGACACATTTCTCGTACTCCAACTGACTCTTGAGGGTTGTAAGAAGGCAGAACATCGCTGACTCAGTTCCACCCGTCCTGAAATAAATCGTCAGTTATCGGGGTTTCGAAGTTTAAGGACATTTAAAATTCGTTAATCGAAATAAAAAATTTGTTTCATTGCAATATTCGACATTTCATACCTGCATTCATTTTTCTTTATATACCTGCATTCATCACAAACAAACGATCAGAGTATGTATCTTTTCATTTTAACATTTGGTTTATTAATTTACCTGTCAACGACAACAAGGGGTCCGTTCTGGTAGTTCTGATGTGCCTCATGGAGTTGCGTGACGAGGCTGAGGGTGGTGGCGAGGGCAGGCAACGTGTCAGGCCAGCCAGGCGCCATCACGAGTCTCACGGGGAGCTCATAGTCGTCCTGTAGGCTCTGCACTGCAACTTCTACGGTCGCCTGGCCAGAGTGCACGCGCTCCTCCAAGTAACGCACCTGCTCAAGTATCAAGCGTGCTAATTATCGCTGGTAGTTTTTTCTAGGTTAGGGACAAGTAATAGACTAGGTACTAAGTTGTTAATTAACCCTGGTAGTTTCTTCTAGGTTAAGGACTAGCAAGTAATCCACCCTTGCTAGTTCGAGCAGGAAATTTATTCCATGCAAGGGACTAGCTATAACATACTCGTTGTAAACACATAATGCACAGAAATATTTCCGTTCTTTATAGGTACATTTTTCGGTGAGAATTCTCTTATTAATCTATCAGAAGAAGACAGTAAGAAAAAGCAGCATTATTACACGAATATAAAAATTGAAAATATGCCATAGAGCTTGATTAATTATTTTAATCCTTAATGCATTAAAATTCATAGTCCGATGAAGCAACAAGTATTGTTCCTACCTTCCAGTTTTCTGAATCGATGTCCTCGTGCTGGTTAGGCCAGAACTGAGGGTAGAGGCCAGTCTCCTCGTCGACGGCGTTCAGAAGTACAATGGTTTGCGCGTTGTGGTCCCATACCATCTGCCAGAAGTCCAGGATGGTTTGTTGCACAGGATGTTGCGTGATGATGAACTCCTTTAATCGTTGATATCCCATCAGCCACGTGGCGTTCATGTAATCTGATCCATCCACTGCAGCCTGTGAGGATGATGGAGCGTTAGGGGTGGAAGTAGGGGTAAGTTAGGGTGGAATGCATTCACAATATGAAACGTAAAACCAAATGAAAAAATCGTTTGTGCTCAGTAATTGCCTAATTTTCATAAATATACAATCTTGCGATGAGCACCACATTCAAGTACAAGTTTAGCAAAATAGTGGCGTTAAAGACTTCCTCTCGTGATTTTCAAAGGTGAAAGAAATCCAATTTTCTGCTAATGATTTGATCATATAAGGTCACCTTAGCAATAAGATAAGGTCACCTTAGCGACAAGATAACATCATGTTAGCGAAAAGATAAGGTCACCTTAGCAACAAGATAAGGTCACCTCAGCGATAAGATAACATCATCTAAGCGACAAGCTAAGGTCACCTTAGGTGTGAGGTGCACCCGGGCGTTCTCCATGGGTAGGAGGTGCGATGTTCGGTTCTTGTGGCGGTTGCAAGGCTTCACGGCGCTGATGACGTTATACTCCTCAGGCGTGAACTGCGTCGCCATCTGCAATGCAATAAAAGCATTCAGCATTTACAATAACTAAAGACGTACATAATTAAAAATGTACTTCTAGTTATAATATAGATTGAACGGTGTTCATTAACTGGTGTAATTTGTTAATTAATTTTGAACTTGCTATAGGCATGATAACAATGTTACATAATAATATAACACGATTTGTTCTGCCAATGTTTATAAATATCTCGACTATGATTGACCAGTAAATATATACATGGATAAATTCATAACCTCGATACAAAAAATAGTTCAACAATCAACATCCATGATCATGTGATGCAATAAGAACAGGGCATCATAAAATAATTTCATATTTTTGTTGAAACACAAACTTTGACTTGGCCATTTTGAGGAGCTGGCGATTTAACAAGAATCGATGTAATTATTCCTTGACATGATGCAACTTGCTTGTAACTGGTGATGCGACTATAAAGTTTGCTATTCCCACAGCAGCACATTGTCAGATCATGTCTCACCTCGAACTGATGATGTTACTGGTAATCTTGCCGAACTTCATTATCAGGTGATGCCTCACCTTGAACTGGTGATGTAATTGGTAATGCTGAATTTCATCACAGTTCGTTGTCAGGTCTGTCTCATCTTGAACTGATGATAAGACTAGAAATTTTGGTAGTGCCACCACATTACATCAATAGGTTTTACCTTGAACTGCTGATATAACTGGTAAAGTTGGTAGATCCGACGCACTACATTGTCAGGTGATACCTCACCTTGGACTGATGATAAGACTAGAAAACTTGGTAGTGCCACCGCATTGCATTAATAGGTTTTACCTTGAACTGGTGATAAAACTGGTACTGTTGGTAGACATTACAAGTGTCAGGTGATGTCTCACTTTGAACTGATGATGTAACAGGAACCAAGGCGTGTGTTCCGGCCCACCAGCGGCCTGCAGGGAGGCGATGTATCGGCTGATGCTGCCTGCCGGCACGCACGTGTTGCCGCACTGTATGGCCTCCACCAGCGCGTCGTGCAGGAACATGTACTGCTCCTCTGTCTGCTCAGTGCAGTCAGTAATTATATTATTGGTCCGCTTCAATGGCAAGTTTACCGAGAACTTAGAAGTAAAGAAAACCCCCATAAATTCACCTTATCTTAGTAATGCTGTTCTTCCGAAACGTTTTAAATATAGATAGGATGAATTTCCTAGACTTTTTTTGCTTGGAAATTCTTGTCGATTCATCAACTTTTGCATTCTTTTAATTTTAAAAGCATAAGTCAACAATTTTCTACCATTTTGAATGTCTCTCGATCTGAGAATTGAGAAGTTCTTTAGACCAGTAGTTATTAATTTACTAGTTACTAGTGAATTAAGATTAACAACAGGTTGCTAGTAACTTAAGATGAATGAAACAACAGGTTACTAGTAAATTAGGATTAAACAACAAGTTACTGATACAGGTTACTGATAAGTAAAGATGAAACAACATGTTATTGATAAATTGAGATAAAACAAGAGGTTACTAGTAAATTAAGATAGAACAACAAGTTAGGGTGGTAAGTACACTACACTAGTAAATTAAGATTAAACTACAGCTTATTGGTAAATTGAGATAAAACAACAGGTTACTAGTAAATTAAGATGAAACGACAGGTTACTAGTAAATTAAGATGAAACGACAGGTTACTAGTAAATTAAGATAAAATGTGTTACTTGTAATTAAGATGAAACATGAGGTTACTGGTAAATCAACATGAAACAAATCAGCACTAGAAACAGAAGAAGAAGCAACTTATCTACGCCAAAAAAAAAAGATGTAAGAAGTATGAAAAAACGAATTCTGATCACAAAGTCTTCACCTGCACAAGAAAGTTCCGCTGTAGGCGGATGTGCTTGAGGAAGCCGTAGATGTTGAGCTTGCCTTTGCTCTTAATTTGACGTAGCATTGCGTCCAGCACGATGTAGGTGCCCGTCCTGCCTACGCCAGCGCTGCAGCAACAAACATTCACGAGTTTATTTAGGATAACGCAACGCGTCATGTCTTAAAAGCATTTTAAGACATGACATTTCTGAAGACTTAAATTTTAAATTCAATAGCAAGTGACTTAGATTTAGTATTAAGCTACAGAACATCACTACTTTTCAGTACATTTATCATCAAGCATTGAATCTGAATTATCGGATAATTATATTATCCGAATTAGCGTTCTACCTTCATTCCGATTATAATGATTGGTTTTAAGCAACTGACCAAAAACTTTTGTACACTATGAAAGAATTTACCTAACTTGAGATAACCTAACCTAAATTAAAAAATGGACTAATGAACCTTATGATTGAACTTTCGTAACTTTTTCGCAAATAAATTAAATGTGTACTAACTGGCATTAATTACTAACAACTATGATTTAAACAACAATAAAAACGTTGAAAAATGTTATCAAGTTGTCAGCGTTACGTTGGATCAAACAAAATACTGTAAGAAAATATATGCATAACATTACTAGCTGCGTAGAAACTTAACAAACATCTTATGAATCCCTCATTAATTTATAATTTGACGTACACAACAGAATGCCACGTAATTACACATTGCTAAAGGCCGCACATCAATAAATGCTGGCACGTATTTGCTTTGTTCGATGCAATGGAGCGTTGTTTCTCGACCATTAATGGAAGCTCAACTCATATTATGCTATACAATGACAAAAGCAAACAAATGTTCCTGCCAAACAAATTCTCCTGTAATAGGCACAGTGCTAAATTATAAGTTGACTATTTGATTTCATTACAAGAAACACGTTAACCAAACCGAGACAGTCGCAAACAAATGCTCCTGCAATAGGCATAATGGGAAATTCTTGGAGGACTATTTAAATTTATTATATGCGAAACAACGATCAAACCAAGAGAGTCCCAAACAAATGCCGGTGCAGTACCTGCAGTGAACGATGATAGGGCCCGCGTTGTCAGGGTTAGCGGCAGCACTGATCCTGACGAAGGCCAGCACGGGGAGGGGGTGGTCGGGGGTGCCGTGGTCCGGCCAGTTCGTGTAGTGGTACTGCAAGATCGTGCGCTCCACGCTACCCGACTTGGTGCACTTCACCTGAAATGATTACCATTAAATTATACAACTTCAAGTCATTATTAATGCTTCAAACAATTGTTTCTATCTAATGTACTAGTGCATAGGTTAGAGAAATTATTACTTATTTATACTATCCTTAATAGGTACTTGATACTTATACTTATTTTCCTTGATACTTGATAACTACAGGAATATTTTTTTCTTGTGCAGACCTTCATGTGGCGAATGGCAAATTTCCTGATGGTGTAGGTCGCAAGCACGTCCTCCTGTACGAGGCGCACCTGGATCAGTCCGTAGGTTTCTGTGCCTTCCTTCGGCCAATACTGGTCGCACTTCTTCTGCACAGTCAAGACAAATTTCTCAATACCAGACAAGGGTTCACGATAAGTACAGGAGAGAGAAAAAACCTGCAGGAATAAACGAAAGTTAGTTAAGTTGCTAAAAAAATACGATTTCTCACACGACATGCATGTTTTTTAAGTGATTCGTTAGCACTTGCGTTCTAAAAGTTGTTTTAGCGTCATGTTTCTGGTAACTGGGCTGAGGTTTGCCAAGTTTCCCTTAATGGGACCGAAACAATAACGCTGAAACAGGCTAAGAATTATGGCTGCTAATAAAAGCAGTGAGACATGCAGGACATAAATAAATAGCGACATGCACGAGATATAATTAATTTAAACATAGATTAGCGCCATAAAGTTAAAAAAATGAAATCTAGACAAACTGAAAGCAGAAAAAACGAGGGGCAAATTATACTTTGTAAATTTTTAAATTATACAAAGTAAATTAAATACATTATTTTTTAATTATACTGTGAGAAAGTTTGGGACCAAAGTAGAAAAAGTTTGGATTCATCCATCAACTCGGTTATTATTCGTCTTCAATGGAGATAAACTGGAAATGAGGAAAATCGTGTCGTGTAAGACACGAGAAAAGTAATAATATATCTACCAGTGAACTGATCAAGAGAAGTAATCACAAGCAAGCAGTGATGAGTTGGCCTACTCGGATTAAGTCGAGAATGAAAAAAAATACGAAGATGAGATCAAGTGCTGCAACATAAATGTTTGTCAGTCAAGCTGTTCGCGTGCTGCTCTACGTTTATAAACACTGAACTTAGTTCATTTGAATCGTACAAATGATCCATATATGGTATTATTCTCTCTCTCTGTAGATATGGATTTAATATGGATAACTTGATGATCAATTTACAGTCTTATTTAGGTTAATTAGAGAACTAGTACTCATTAAAAGCTTCGTTATAAATTGGTTAGATATAAATGCGAAAGAAAAACCAAACTCTGACATAGGAATGCAGAAAAACCGTTGGTTAAATTTGGTTACGATATCCATGTAACGGATTTGTATTTATTATGCAAACTTAGAGCAGATAACGAGTAGCTTTAACAGAAGCATCTAGCAAGCTACTATTATAGGCAATTAGCAGCGGGTGAGAGACACAGAGTGACTTGTGTGCTACGATACCTCGAGGCACTGGGAAGCAAGTTTGGGTTGTTTTTTTATGCTTTCCTACGACGAAGCAGACGCAATGTAGGGGAAGAATGCCATGAATTATTAATTTGAGGAGTGTCTTTGTGGCAACACACGGACTCCTTAATAATGAAATACTTTGAAGGATAACTGGTGATAGTTCCAGACAACAAGACGCTCAGAGATAAAGGCAACGAGAAATACATGCATCCGATGCGCTTAAGCATCGGCATAATTCAGCCATTATACCGTCATAAGTAAACACAATTGATATTTCATATTGATATCTCTGTGTCGTCCTGTAATTTGAATGAATTATTGGGAACTGTGAACTTTGGAAATTTTTTTAGAGTCATCGAACATATTTTGTTCGAGTCAACCAGAAATGGAAAAGCCAGCGGATCAGACGCAATTTTCCTGAATCTTAGCCGAAACAGACCGAGACAGGCCTAGCACGTAGAAGCGAACTAGCGGCCAAACTTGGAATATAAATACCATGAACAAGAGTAAATTTTCACACTACTTTTACTTATTGAAAAGCCCTATTATTTCAATGTAGATTGTCTAGTTTTAATTCATATAATCTTTTTGCTGTTGAATAAGATTGTTGAAAGGCCATCATACAGTTGCATTAATAGACAACAACATGAATGTAATGTTATCAGCTAAACATTGTTATCTGCTTAAAAACGCTTAATTACGATCAACCAATAATTCTGAGCGCAGGACAAGCAACTCACTCTGCCCCTCTCGACGAGGTTGGTAATCATGACGATGATGGAGACGCGCTGCTCCCACACCATGCGCCAAAACGTATCGAACGTCGAGGGCAGAGGTCCCTGCGTACCGATGTAGGCGCGCGCCTTGTCGTACCCGTCGATGTAGTTCGCATTCACGTACTCCAGCACCGATGAACGCTTCGACTGGCCGGGCAACGGCCTCAGCGGCACGCGGGTGTGGTCATCTGCAACACGTCCAAACGCAGTCACTTTACATATGATTTCAATAAAACATTTCACAGTCGAAAATCAATAACCGCATTCAGGTTAACATTTTTCTTAGTAAAGGCATTTTTTACAGATCAGAATTGTCAAGATCCCTTACAGATCTCCTATTGGCAAAGGTGGTTCATTAGGAACACTTTAGAGCAGGCAAAGAAGAAGAGCTGGTGCCTTCGTCTGAAGACAAAGACACACTGCTCTCCTCTCGCCGCTTATAGCGCGATATTGTCGAAGTTGAAATTGTGATTCTATCGAATGATTCCAAAGTTTTCCAAACATAATGCAACAAAAATATCGATTTTCAAAATTAGGTAATCTATCTCGGCAGCTCACAAACAACCGTCGTCCGAGTTTTTTCAATTCAGCTAGAACCTAACGACTTCTATATCTTGGATCTTGGTTGAATGAAATTTGCCATTCCGATCCAAAAATATGCCGTTCCGCAAGTAAAATCTTATCAAATTTAAATTGAACGCTTTAATGTTGAATTTAGCATTGATAAAGGTGTCTGTACAAAAGAGTGACGAACATGCGGGTAAACGAAATATTGGAAATAATCTTAGACAGTTCAATGACCCCATCACATGACGTCAATATCAACTGCTTCCGATAGATTTGCTAGCAACATTTTTTCTTCCAGTTCGTAGACTTTCAGTTCATCAACTTTTACCATTAGCAAGTGAATGATATATCAACCAGCAATTTAAGGCAAACTTTAATATTATAAATAAGAACTTTTTGGGAAAGTTCTTTTTCCGTATCTTAAAACATCATTTGGCGTCATTTTGATGAAATCCCTCAAATTTTCTCGTTAAAAATTCTGGGCTTGTTGCAGTTAGACTTCATTCGCGGTTATGTAACATAGATACAAAACTCGCCATAATATTACAAACGAAAATAACTATTACTACTGTCGAGTTCACGCGCAATATGAAATGGGATACGTAACGAGCAAACGGATCCTAATAACTTTGTGGACCAAGCATATATTATGCTGGAACACGCGTTCGTATTTAATGATATTGACCTCTAGTAAAAACCCCTAAACTCTTGTCTAGTCGGTACACAATGACTCACAAGCAACAACATTTAAATGTATCGACATCAACTCACAAGCAACAATATTCAGATATCTGTTCTTCTGTTTGTTGTCGGGGTGATGGGAGTGCTCAGCTGAGAGAGATTCTGTCGTGGAGGCCGCTTGTATCGCCTCGTATTCTTTCGAGAAGCCGATATCGCCGTCAGCATGCAGGCGTTGTACATGCTGCAAAGTGAAGACACACTTAAACAATGTTTGATATATAAAATGGAAAATTTTATTATTAACTGCTATACGGCGCATGCAAGTAGCAAATGAACGTTTTAAAGCAGAAAATCTGCTAAAAATAGCATTAATTGTTCACTGATTACAAATAACTAAAACATATGCGCATAATTTTTTTTAAATAAAACATGTGAAATTTATAAACGGAACGTGTGGGCACCGCACGTTCCTTGCATTATTGAATTTTGAACCAAGATGATTTCTTTCCTGGCATGTCTTTGCATCTAAATTTTATGCGGTAATTGTTTGCACTAATGACTTTGAATGCACTATATACATTTGGTTTTCAACATACCTTTCTAAGTTCGATTTTGGCAAAGATTGTTTCAGTGTGAATAACCTTATAGTTATGTTCATCCCCTTAACAAACGATTTTTTTCCAATGTTATTGCGGTGATGTACTTATCCCAAACAAATATCATTCACCTACCAGGAGCGTATAACAGTATTCTACCGTGAACACACGTTGGTCTGACCTGAGCAAAGTCCTGTACAGCCACGGGACCGTAGGCACCGTCGCCTCCAGTGTCGTTCTCCCAGTCCGTGCACAGCAGCAGCGGCGCGCTCTTGGATGGCTCGTCGAGGTAGTAGTACGAGCCGTTGAAGAAACGCCTGCTGAACAAAACAACGCATATACTGCATGCGCTCACTGCTAACATGTATACTGTTTGTATGCACTCTACTTGACACATTCAATACTGACTGCGTTCACTCTACTTGGCACATTCAACACTGACTGCGTTCACTCTACATGGCACATTCAACACTGACTGCGTTCACTCTACTTGGCGCATACACCGCCTGCGCTCACTTTACACAACACACACGAAAATCTCAACACACTCATAGGCTCAATGTTTGATGAAAATTTCAATTTTACACAGACAATCAATCAAGGAGAATAGTGAGAATGGAGTAAATGCAAAAATTATTTTACAATACTATGTCTTGGGGAAACAGCATGAATCTTCTTCATAGTGCCAGGTTCAGTAGTGAACAATTTCGTAAATAGTTGGGCCTGTCAAAGAATTGAGCTATGAGCGAGCAGCTAAGACTGACAGAGCGACGTGCGCTTGCATCAGAAACGAAAATTATCTCTCACCTGAGCTACAGAATTGTAGCGTTAAATGTTTCAGCGAGTAGGATCAGGTATTGTTTTCGCGTAATCGGGACTTGAAAGATTTCAAAAACATCGAAGATTGTGTTTGAAAGACGTTAAAATGAATCATAAATAGTTTAAATACAATGCCGTTGCTTTAGCTTGAGGTAAAATGAGCATGGAGGCCTAATCGCAAAGAGTCTAAAACAAAATAAGCGAATCGTCTGTGTGAGAAGATATGTAGTTCTCGAAAGAGCATCTACAAAGATACTGCGGGAGTTGACATTAATTCGTTCAATGAGGAACGTGGACTGCTGAAACGGACATCTTAACACAATTGCTTTAAATCTAATAAAATCATGCAAATAGCGCGCGCATATAAACTGAACAATACAGCAAACTGTCACCAACTAGCAGAAGATGAGCGAAACAAAGAGGCGTCTTATTATATAAAAGTCAAGAAGATCGCGGCGAAATACGAATTTTAAAATTTTGCATCGGCTTCATTAGGTCTACTTCCTGTGTTCCATTGCAAACCAAGCTGATTATTGTCAAACATTGCATCATGATTCGATCGCTGATGTGGTCGCGAAGTGTGTAGATTTTTAACGAAGAGAATATTGCAAAGATAACGTACTATTCATAACAGTTCAACTGAAATTAAAGAATAAGTCTAACAGTAAACGGCATATTTCAGCCGACGTGAGAAAATCCTCGATTATTATTCACAATAAAATTCATGACTTAATAGTAAAATGGGTTCGATACTAGAATCGTTAAATCTAACCTACCGGCAAATGACGTTGAAACAACGTTTAATTGACTTCTATTCAATGAAAAAATATTCAATTGCGTTCAATTCAATTAATGACGTTGAAACAACGTTTAACTGACGTTTATTCAACGAAACAACATTCAATTCAACGTCAGATGTCTGGTGAGAAGAAACGCACCTCCAGATGAGCATGGCGATGAGGATGAGACAGAGCGCGAAGGCGGCACAGATGGCACCTGCCAAGATGCCACTCCTCAGCTCCAGTCCGATAAACGAGCCAGGACTGCCACCGAAGAACGAAGTAGGCGCCTCGTGGCAGTTGGGGTACAACAAGATCTTGGATGCTGCCGAGGACGGCCCCTGCGAAATGAATCCAACAATGTTGAAGTGCTTTATCGAACAAAAGAAGTGAGATTTAATTTCAGTGCAAATCAATGCAAAAAGCAAGACTTACATTAGGATCACAAATATAAAGTAATTCTGGCATTACTACAGAAACATTGTGACATCTTTGAAAATTTAAACGAGATAAAACAACAGTGAATCCCTCTTAACAATGCGGCTGTTATTACGTCAAAATTCTCGTATCGGCATGCATAGCCACGCTGCAGACAGCGTGGCTCCCGAACAACGGGCATGGAGCCAGCCTTGCGCCCACGCCTGACCCCGTCATTACTATCAAAGCATGGCCAGTGTCATAGTGTCAATACACAAATACTTAGTTATACATATTCAGTAGAGATTAGATAGGAAGAAAAATAAATTTGGTCGCTCCAATCCGTTATTATAATAGGGGAGAGCTACAAATGCATATATGGTGTTCGACATTAGATTAGTCGGGAAAGTCCATAAATGTGATTGTTTGTTAGACGCAAGACGTTAATTGGAAATTTCTGATCCAACTGAATGTAGATCGACACCCGCTTTACCGCCATCGATAAATGTGTATGCAAACTAATGTGTACCTAAAATTTTAGGTCCATTCTTCGAGTTCAACGGAGTCCGTGCCATTCAATGCAACTCTTTAGGGTACTTCTTGACTGCGGCAAAGTAGACAAGGCAGAAGCCGAAGCCCGATATAGCAACAATAAAAGGCTGAGAGGGGATCTCAAATGCCCTCAGGCGATCCAATCAAGGCAACAGAGGGGAGTTTTTTCGAGAAAGGCAAGCTGTCAATATCCATAACATCCACTTAGTGAGAGCAGCGTCCGAAAGTTTGGAACCCAGTCTCAAGATGGAGTAGATAAAGCAGATAATTTTTTGGGGAAAATCCAGCCCTGTGAAAATTTTCAACTATTAAACTTGTAAAATTAACGGTCATGATTACTTCGGATCGCTTAATATAGTGATCCAATTTATGGAATATTGAAATTCATTTATTTATATAATTGAAGGTTATTTACTCGGCTCCGATAAATAGTAGGAAATAACGAAAAATTGAAAATTTTAGAAAGTATTCGCCATTTGAGCCACACCATTTCCCCTATACCTCAATAAACTTTTTTGCAAAATCAGTTAACGACCATAACAAGCTTTATTCACAATCTATTTAATGAGACAAATGACTGATTTGATTAAGGGATAAATTCGGGCATGAGACGACTTGAGTCTACAAATGCATGGGAAATTCACTAAAAATGAAAAAAACTGTCATTAGCAGTTAAATCAATTGGTAGTGCGGGGGCAAAGTAAGAAAATGAACAGAAGCAGTCACTCACATAAATTAATAGAAGAGAATATATACACAGGAAACGCAGAGAAACCGACGCATTTTAGTGAAAGAACGAGCAAACACTAGGAACGCTACAATGCTAAGGAGTATACACAAGCGGCTGGCAGATCGCCAGTCTCGCCATAACAATCATGCCCAAGCGGGCAGTGATGTTATGGCCTCAGTAAACTCGGCTTCGTGGAAGCCTCACCAAGCGAAATTGTTGTCATTACTTCCGGTCAGATAGCGCCCGATTGATTCCCTAGCATAAACACTAAAATGAATTAGCTTAGACAAAATAAGAAAAAACATTCTATACAAATACTGGAACGATCGTCTTTTAAATTTTACACTATTAACGCTCTACGGAAAAGAGATATTTTTTCTCCAGACAGCTTAAATTTAAATAGAACCAGGATCTATTTCTCAGCAACAATACCGTAGCGTGCCAACGAAAGTAGAATGACATATCACCTTGTATGTGAGGTTGTTTTCGCTGTAGAACCTCGAGTAGGTGCCACCTCGGACCTTCACTTCGTAGAATGTGTTCGAAGTCAGGTTCGTTATCAGAAACTGGAAAAAAACAGTTATGCTCAGAATAACTTCATGCGGCGGCTAAGAAAGGAGTCATCAAAGAACAAAATATGCTAAAATTATACACAGTTGCTGTTAAAGTTTGCTTAAAAATTTACGTAACGATTAGGCTGTTGAACATGTTATATAATCTCTCCAATATTTTTCAAAGAAGCACCAGTACAAATTTAATAATCGGGCAGTGTTTCTGAAACGTGACGAAAAAAACATTAACTAAGTAAATGTCCCGTCATATTGTATATTCTCCCGAAAAAGATCGATATATTCTGAAGATACATACACTCGTGCACTAAGTAACCGTTATGCGTTAGTAACGAAGATCGATCATGCTAGCTGAAACGCAATAACCATTTCCCAAAAACAATTGTAAACACATTCACAGTGTTTTCATGAAGAAACATCACTGTTAAAAACATCACTATATTACTTCAATGTTTGGCTACCAGGAAAACAGTTCAAGTTAATTTGGCATACAGAGCATAAGATGACGGCCTGCGAAATAACGTTTTCTAATTCTGATCTGATTCACAATCCTAAATTAGCGTTAAATAGAGAGGAAAGTACTAAGTAGGTACCCCGCAGAAGCAGACCACACACTAAACAGGACCCGACATGGTAGCCAGGATACGAGGTCAGATAAGAGCTCAATCGTAACATGAGTGCAGCCTGATATTGCACGGAGATTACAGACACCAATGAGTCGACAATTCATATAATGCGACATAAGTAACATCATAACATATAGACGCGATATTATAATGAAAATTTCTCAATAATTAATAGCAAAATTTAAATTTCGGTAATAGAAATAAAAAAATTTGGGAAAAATTAGAGCATCTCAGCCAAGGATCAAGTAATCGACCATAATATGAACTATTAATACAATATTTTAAAATAAATTTCGACTGATACATAATGATTTAAATATTTCCCCATTTGAAAAATATTCTATCACAACTTCAATTGAGTTATGATCGAACGAATATTAATTTTAATTGGAGTTGTAACTAAATATTTCCTTCAGTGCAACAGAGATGTGTTAAAATTTTTGATCTGTATCTCAATCTGAACTGAAAATAACTGACAACTGAAGCACGGAAAATAATTAAGCACGTACTAAGATTAAAATAAACAATATATCGTATGAAATATTTCAATTAAAATTAAATACCAGGATTGCATCAATCTATATGCACTTCAAGTAGACACTTAATATGAACCGAGTATTCCGTCATCATATATGTACAAGAACAACTAAAAGTCCGTGGTACCTAAATCACAAAATTATGGCGCTGGCTATCACTTTCAGATGAAGTTGCAGTTCTCATGTTCTACTGGCATACGTCACAGCATACCGTACGCAAAAATACAAAAAAAAATCACAAATTCTTAACATCCACCAGAAATTTCAAATTACCACTGATTAATCATATTGCTTCGATCAATCAATAAAGTGTCCGCAAATAGCAACATGAGTTACTTAATTAGATTGTTCTCCGAAGAGCACTCACATTATGCTCTAGCCTGTTGTTGACGGAGTAAACAGCGACCTCCTCAAATTCATTGCTGCCCTCAGGTTTATAATGGATGTAGTAAAGGTCCACTTTGCCGTAGACCTGACCAGGCCGGTGCCACTGAAGGTAAAGGGACGTCTCGCTCTGGCAGGTCAGGTTCGATATAAAGGGAGCACCGGGACCCGACGCATCCGTTGTTACGTTCACGGGCTCTGAAGAGTTGCCCTCGTGGCCCGGCGTGAAGGCCTTAGCCCACACTTTGTAGTGAGACAGCGGTTCTGTAGGAATAATGGACATCGCGAGTTAAAGATAAACGGGAACTATAATGATGCAGAAAGATATTTGTTATACATAGAACCGCACAACTTTTATTTCAAAAAATTGCTGCAAACTGTGACCGACAACAAGAATGTACTATCTTTTTTAATGATTGATATAAATTTTTGCGCTGGAAAAAATTCATACCATTAGATACTGTAAAAAGATGAGTAATAAATATTCATTAATCGTAGTTGCCATAAAATAGCTAATACAAGCAGCGTCACTATCAAGAGGAGCGGCTTTCTGTGTCAGCCCTGACGGAGATTGCCCCATTAATTTTCCCCGTCGTCTTAAAGGAAACGAAGAAAGGATCACACATAAAAACCAATTATTTGTACAGCGACATATTACACAATTCTCTTCTATTCATGTCGAAGTCAAACGGTTGAAAATATACTTTGTTAAAATTCATTATCTAACGTCATGATTGTTTTTACGCTTTTCGCTAGTCTCGTATTGGGTAGCGAAGTCAACGCTCATTAGCTCGATCGTAATTATTTAATTATTATTTACTTAACTTTGCCCCTGTGCTGACCTCGTGTATAAATCGTGTTAACTAACAGTGTTACTACCCTCGGCTAATATTACTTTTCTCTATTTGAGTTTGTGCGGATGTGTTTTCATTTTATTTTGTGTAATTAAATTGCATGTTCGCGCTACAGTGTTCATTGTTTTAGGTCTGGATTACACTGGATTCACGCAAGTGGTTGACACAGGTTGGGTCTGTGTAGCTCCGTGGAGCTTCTGTGCTTAACCCATTAATGCCGAGCGGTTCCATTTGGAACCAGCGGGAAAAAAGGATTCATATAATAGACTTGCATCATCCAATAAATATACAAGTGGATGCGTAGGTTTGATACACATACCATTGTATATGTTCTGAGTGGAATATTAAGGATACAATAAAATATACCAAGCAAACCTGTTATGAAAATTATTTAAGAATAAATGCCTATATACTTTTAAAGAGAAGGTCAAGGAGGCTTGAGGAGCTCATTCATAAGCCGGCGGTAGCACGCTTGCGGGCGGTAGCTAACGAGAATACAATCAACGTCTAGCGGCCATAGAATTATCAATAAATCCGCTCCCGTTAAACAGAATAATAACGCAGCACATTGTGACGAGCTCAAGATTGCTGTTTTCCGGAGCAGGATTAGGGATGGCGAGAATAAAAAAAGGATGCAACGCATTTTTTCTACCGCTCATACGAACGAGAGTTAATAATTAGATTCGGAAACATTATTTTAACGCGGGAATGGGAGAGCAGGTCACCGGGATCAATGAACTGAGATTCAAACAAAAAAGTATGGAAATACAACTTCGCAATTAACATTCCAATGGAAACAACTAACTCAAATACAAATGCACATCCAAGATCAAAACAACGGATAACCATACTTAGATTAGGTATCTTAAGGCCAATGGTGGAGAACATTTAAAAAAAAATACATTATTCTTCCCTGCATCCTACAAAAACGTACATATAATGTATAACTGAACATATCAAATACATGGTCAAACAGATTACGTGTTCATTTTTATTTCAAGTCTAACTCTAGGAAAATTATGTCATGATACCCTTCTTCACATAAAGATGCCAACCCAGTGAAAATTTACAGACGCATCAGCTTCTGATTTGGATTACCAGAAGCTAGGGCGACTCTAAATTTTGTTAGGGAATTTTTTTTCATGCGAACTACAGGAGATGAGTGGTAATACAAAGCAAGTAAATGGATGGTCAGCCTTAACATGCGAGTCCTGCAACACAGAAATGATTCCCTAGAAGACGAGTTACGATGACGGATGGACGCTAAATAATAGATGCTTGTGAGAAATAGAGCGAGAAACAAGACTCGAGCCGCATTGAGTTTAACTTCTGCCGTAGAATCTTAGTTGATGCGCTCCTGATAACTGCTGTGTATGGAGTTTAGTGATCACAGTAATGACAGAAATATAAAATCTTTGAAAATAGTTAAGATGTAACTTGATTCATTATAAACGTATTTAAATCCTGTGATACGAATGAATGCTAAATAGAATAAGCAGCAGAGAATGAAATTAAGTGGCATATCGTTACAAAATAAAACAAATTTAGGACGTAAAAAGAGCTTTAGTTTAAACTTGTATTGCCAGCTTGTCGCGCTGACTGGTACAAAATTTACAACGTGCAAAGTTTGCAGAGAAAACAGAAGCGAAAAGATTCCTCGACTTAAACGCACCATGAATATTTGGCATTTGTACCTATAGTTCTTTTAGAGTCATAAATGCAGGCAGCACGCATCTGTCAAGGTTATAAAAAATGAAATATTCGCATTGAAAAACGAGTTGAGCTGATCTGTGGGCGGTGAATGGCGTGCAATAAAGCGTCGTATGTCTACGAATTAATAAAAAAACATCATGATTTCAATTGTCGAAATTTCTTACTTTTAGCTACTGTAACCAACTAGCTGTTGAATGTTTATTTAAATGACGACAATTAAGTGATGCAGCCCAAACGATGGTAATGAAACGCAACAAGAAACAACAAAACGAAGGATTTGTTGCGTGCGTCACTCCACAAACGGCTATCATTAAACCTTCAGAAATTTCAGGAGTGAGACTTGATACATCCTCGCCTTGTGACCGACAAGCACAGTTACTCGACACGCATGCATAAACAGGCATCCACAACGTAGCAAGCAAACATCACAATACAAGCGACATGCTTTGGCGCGTTGCAATTACTAAGTGCCTTGTAAATGAACGATTGTCAGCCGCCGTCCATGGCGACCAAGTAATTGGAGTGATATTCCCAAGAGTATAAGCCTAAATCCTCGACTAAAAGCATACATGACGTTCGTGAAAATGGGAGATGAATGACAATAACGGTCGAATCTTCTTCGAGTTGAGAGACTCCGTTAAAAAATATGAAATGAAAGGAAACGTACAGTCTGTAATCATAACGCTGCAAACTGTATTTATTTTCAGTGACCTATTTTTTATTTTTCCTATTACCTCACTTTGCTTCAATAGTCAATACTTTCTTAATTTGATCGAAATATTGAGCACGAAATATGTCAAGACGCCTATACCAATTTATACGAAAAAATTCCAATTTCCATAAGGCAATAAACTTGTGCATCCTCTCGAAATACATTCTAGATAGCTCAAGAAACTCTACTAATGAATGATGACAAAAGGCTGTTCGGACGCTCTAATAACGACTGGTAACACGCATTACGTGCATATATAATATAGCCCCCGTCACGCAATGCTACGTAAGAATCACTCTGTACATACGTTATCTAAAACCTGGAACCAACATTAAAAATCAAAATAACTCGCATTATAAAATTAGATGTTCTAAGTCAGGTAAACGTATTTCAACCGCATCAAGATGATAGAAAAGTAAAAAACGTCCTTTTGATTCTTACACACGAAATTAGAAAGCAAATAATCAATTAAAACGTCCGCTATCAAATCAAAACTCAAGCTATAAGCATTTAATTGTAAACATTGATCTATTATTTAAAGGCCTTGTTAACGCAGAAAGACGGTGCCAGCGGTACTTCGATAAGTAATTTATAAATATCTTTCGGAAAATAAAATATATTCATTTATTAGTAAGTAATCAATGGTTCCAAGAGTATTAAGCAAGTATTTAATGCTGCAAGAAACGAAACCAAGAACGACAGCAAATTAAGGCATGCAGTAGAATATCCAATTTTCCATGATGCTATTAGTAACTGTGGAGTTTTTTCTGCAGATTGGTTGCATAAAATTAATATTATATTTCGTAGAGAAGAATTGAAGAAAGAGGGATACATACCACTGCTTAGTAATTTGAATGGCATGTTCGAAGAAAATCGAAACTAACCAAAAGGCTTGCGCAATTGAACGCAATGCAGAAAAATCAAGACGAAGGAAGCAAGTGGCTCGGAAATGGACGTAAGTTGAGATAAAATTGTCAACAAAAACCCAGGGCGAGCCGATATCACAGCTGTGCTAGCGATGCAGGGCCGAAGAATAACCTAACGTCAAGGGCGGAGTGCAGAAGCAGATTGTCCTCGAGAAGGACCGGGCGAGCGGCGCGATCAATAGCGACACTGCGTACGGCTGAGGCCTTTTGGCGGCCGACGCCGCTGGCGAGCCGAGAGAGGTCGCGGCCTCATAGGCCACTACCAACCAGACTTCTGACGTTGAATTACCGTTGAATTAAATGTTGCGTGGTTGAATTAACGTTGAATTAAACGTTGTGTGGTTGAATTAACATTGAATTAAACGTTGTGTGGTTGATTCAACGTTGAATAAAACGTTGTGTGGTTGAATCAGCGTTGAATTAAGCGTTGTGTGAAAAAATCAACTTTTAATTATACGTTGAATTAAACGTTGTGTACTTGATTAAACGTTGAATTAAACGTCGACTGACTGGTGGGAACGTTCACCGTGAACCACCGTGCTTCATGAGGTCTCCACATCCGGGTACCACATTTTACGATCTCTTCTTTGACCAACTAGATTCAACAGTCTGGAAGCAAAAATTCACGATGCTGCGGAACTTACAAGTCGTCAACAACCGTCAATTACTTGGTATTAAATCACTAATTAGTTTGATTTTTTTTTTTTTGCACACATTCCAGGGTTCAAACAAATGAAATAAAAGAATATTTAGCTTAGACGGCGTGAACGTATGAGCTTGGTTGTAAATGAAAATTGATCCGAACGTATGATTCTGTGAATTAATGGTACAGATAGGTATTTACGAATGTTTAAAATTCAAATGTGAGTTTAGTATGGACATGAAGTTCCATTACGACACTCGTTTCCGGGGCTCCCAAGCAGTCTCGCGTCAGACGGCCAACCTTAATATGAAAGCTGAAGATCCTAAGCTCTTTGATGAACAATTTTGGGCTCCCTGATAATCACTACAAACGAAAGCAAGAAAACAGTGAGCGTTAGTCCTAATGAAAGTCTTTAA